CCTAGCCAGCCTTGCTGGCTGGGGAATTCTGGGAGCTGAAGTCCACGCATCTTAAAGTGGCCAAGGTTGAGGAACACTGGTGCAGAGGAATAATTAACTGCTCCACTGCCACTGTTGGCTTTTCCTGCAGAGCTCAGGAAGGGTTGCTTTGAAAACAACAACTACAAAGGCCCCACGGAGAAGCAATCCAGGGAGAAAGAACGAACCACGAGCTCATGAGATTGAATACACCGCGACTGGGAGCCTCAGAATGCAAAGGGACCGGCTTGCCTCTTGCTCCGTTGGCCCTCTGGCATGGAAGCAGGAGCAAGGCAGACATGAATGTCTCAGTTGCTCTCTAAATCCAGGCGGCTTTTGCGCAACGCATCTGACTCGTTTTAGGACAGCTGTGTTCGCCTACAGAAGCATTACACCCGGAGGAATCGGGGAGCCTCTTTTCTCGTCCATCAGTTTTCTTCCAAGCTCAAGAAAGCTTATGCCTTTGTAAAAAATTGGTGAGTCAGAAAGGGCTCCCAGGCTCTTCCTGATTTAACGCTCGACTCAGTTACTTACTTACTTAGTGATTCCATTGCCTGGGTTTGCACAGGCCTGGAGCCATAAAGCGGTTTGCGCCTCGTTCGAACTGGCCTGGTTTGGCATGTGAAATGCACCCGCTCTATGCCTGGCCTAGACTGTCTTCCCACATTTAGCAACCTCGGGCTTTGAATGTCGGCGCCTGGTGGCTTGCGAAAGCTTTTAAAACAAAACGTGGATGGCCGGGTGCTGTTGAAAACAAAAAGGGCCATTCCGTGCCACTTCATCCCAGCTTTACACCACGCGTTGTCCTGATGGGGAGAAGTTTGAATAAGGTCCAGAGGGTGGTCACCACTGTGCCCCCAAAGCTGTTCCCCATCTTCACATGCATCGCACTGACATTTTGGAAACCCTCCTCCTATATGTGACTTTTTCTAAACCAGGACTGAACCAAAACACAGCTAAACACCACATTTAATGCTCTTATCCTTCTGAACTTTCTGGGCAGACTTTTCTGTGCAAAAAGACAGTATATATTAGGGGAAAGATATGTACCTTATGAAAAAGCGTCTAGTAGAAAACACTGTATACCACTGGATGTGCTAGGACAGTGTTTCTCAACCTTGGCCACTTTAAGCTGTGTGGACTTCAACTCCCAACTTCATGCTGGCTGGGGAATTCTGGGAGTTGAAGTCCACACAACTTAAAGTGGCCAAGGTTGAGAAACACTGTCCTAGCACATCCAGTGGTATACAGTGTTTTCTACTAGACGCTTTTTCATAAGGTACATATCTTTCCCCTAATATATACTGTCTTTTTGCACAGAAAAGTCTGCCCAGAAAGTTCAGAAGGATAAGAGCATTA